ATTATAAACTATACTGGTACCTTCTACCTGCACTATAATAAATTTTAATTGAGCTGTACTTTAAAGCATTAATCTTGAAAGGAAAAATGCAAAACAATATGGCAATAAGCAGTCTTATTATTTTAACACACCATTATATAAACTGACTCTACTAACTTTGAATTTTTGTTCAAAATTTTATAAAGAAATACTGTACCAATTTCCCAGTCTTCTCAATTTCTGAGTAAACTTCAGCAGGTGTATATGAGTTTGTTACACAGCAGTGGAAGCAAATAGTTTTTGGGACTCAAGGTGTTGGAGTGTGATCAAGACAACATTTTTTAAGAGGATTCAGAGAAACCACTTAGCTGGACTTGAGTCCAGGAGGTGAGAAGTACATTGCCTGCACTCTAAAGGAGAGGTGGGGGGTATTTGCAGTTTGGAGGGGTATTTGAACTGCAGTGTCTGTATGCTTCTGAAAAGGCAGTGGAATGAATGATGGTTAAAGTGTTTCTTTTTCAGGTCCCCCTACCTCAGTGGGAGATAGCCGATGTGCTGAAAATATATTTCTTTTTTTCAACACATGGGCCGTTTCCCACAGAGGCAGGGTGACCCAAAAAAGAAACACTCTCCCATCATTCAACACTTTCACCATCATTCACACATAATCACTGTCTTTGCAGAGGCGCCCAGATACGACAGTTTAGGTGTCACTCCCAACAGCCAATATCCTAAACCCCTCCTTTAAAGTGCAGGCATAATACTTCCCACCTCCAGGACTCTGAGTCCGGCTAACCGGTTTCCCTAAATCTCTTCACAAAATATTTCCCTGTTCACGCTCCAACGGCTCATCATGTCACAAAAACCATTTGTCTCCATTCACTTCTATTTAACATGTTCACACATGCCTGCTGCATGTCCAAGCCCCTTCCACAAAAAACCTCTTTTACCCCTTTCCTCCATCCTATATATATTTTTAGCTTTTTTTTTTTTTTTTACTTTCAAATGTTATTAAGCATAAACAATTACATTACTACTATATTAACACTGAAACCAAAAAACACTTTTTTTCAAATGTTTTATTACCATTAACTATGGTTTTTGCCATAAAACATTTCATTATTTTATTATCAATGCCTCCAGGAATCACTGCAACATCCTCCCCACATCCCAGTCTGAAATCAGTCATAACTCCAGCTCTCCAGCTGTGCTGGAACAAAACCTCTGAAGCTCCTATAGCTGGCAAACCCATAACGTAATACTTGAAAATACCCTCACTGCATTACTGAAGGCTCCCAGATTTCAATATTATGCATATGACCTCTCTTGTGTGATGGAATATATCAGGAAAACATACTTTTTGTTCCCACTGAATAACTATCATATAGAACAGGGTAGCAACACACTGCTGATGTATCTGATTTTGCAACCAAAAAAAAAAAATCAGAACTACAGTTTAAAGAAACATACAAGACAGTAAAGATAAGTACAATATACAGTGGACCCTCGACCAACGATATTAATCCGTTCCTGAGAGATCATCGTTAATCGAAATTATCGTTAGTCGAGTTAATTTTCCCCATAAGAAATAATGGAAATCAAATTAATCTGCACAAGACACCCAAAAGTATTGAAAAAAAAAATTTACCACATGAAATATTAATTTTAATACACACAAACTGAAGAAGACATGTAAAATTACATGACACTTACCTTTATTGAAGATCTGGTGATGATTGATGGGATCGGAAGAGGGGAGTGTGTGGATGGTGTTAGTGTTTCGAAGGGGAATCCCCTTCCATTAGGACTTGAGGTGTCAAGTTCTTTTCCGGGGTTACTTCCCTTCTTTTAATGCCACTAGGACCAGCTTGAGAGTCACTGGACCTCTGTCGCACAACATATCTGTCCATAAAGGCCTGTACCTCCCGTTCCTTTATGACATTCCTAAAGTGTTTCACAACATTGTCAGTGTCACAATTAAACACTTGTTCAGTTTTCAATTCTTCACTGTCTATGTACTCCTTGAATTCCTACACATATTTTTCAGCTGCTTTTTGGTCCGAACTGGCAGCCTCACCATGCCTTATCACACTATGTATGCCAGTATGATTCTTAAATCTCTCAAACCAACCTTTGCTGGCCTTAAATTCACTCACATCACCACTAGTTGCAGGCATTTTTCTAATTAAATCGTCATGCAACTTCCTAGCCTTTTCACATATGATCGCTTGAGAGATGCTACCTCCTGCTATCTGTTTTTCGTTTATCCACACCAATAACAGTCTCTCAACATCTTCTATCACTTGCGATCTCAGTTTCGAAAACATAGTTGCACCTTTGGCAAGAACAGCTTCCTTGATTGCCGTTTTCTTGGCCACAATACAGTGGAACCTCAAAAATCGAACTTAATCCGTTCCAGGAGCTAGTTCTAAATTCGAAAAGTCTGAAATTTGAAGCAATATTTCCCATAAGAAATAATGGAAATACAATTAATCCGTTCCAGAAACCCAAAAATATTCACACAAAAAATACATTTTATAGAGATTAATTACAGTTTTACATACAACAAATACAATAGTTTTTAATTATGTATAGTAATACATATAAAATAACATTTTTACTTACCTTTATTGAAGATTGGTGATGGCATCTGGAAGATAGGGAGGAGGAGAGAGGGAGTTGGGGTTAGTGTTTGGAAGGAGAATCCCCTCCATGAGGACTTCAGGTAAAGCCCTCTCTGGGGTTACTTCCCTTCTCTGTCTTTTAATGCCACTAGGACCAGCTTGAGAGTCACTGGACCCCTGTCTCACAAAATAACTGTCCACAGTCCTCTGTTTCTGGCGCCTCTTTAACATTTCCCTAAAATGGGACATGGTTCTGTCACTGAACTTGTTGCAAAGATGGCTTGTTTCAGCTTGCTCAGGGTGGTACTTCTGCACAAACATTTGGACATCATTCCACTTGGCACAAATTTCCTTAATCTTTGAAGAAGGCACCTCATCCACTCCCTATATTAACACCTTTCGCAACATCAGCTTCCTTGATTTGTTCTTTCTTTGACAGGATAGAACCGATGGTCGACTTGTTTTTCCCATACATCCTGGCAAGCTCAACAAGTCTCACACCATTCTCATACTTCTGTATTATTTCCTTCTTTACATCTATGGTGTTTCTCACTATGGTGTTTCTCACTAGCAAGTTTCTTTGGGCCCATGGCAGCTTATTTCACAGTCCCACAAGCACTAAACACAACGAAATAATCGTAAAATGCGTGAATGAGAGCGCAGGTTAGTGTTCACTCAAGCATAAACAAAGCTAGACTGCTCATGGCGCCTGCGCGGGAACGCGGACAGAGCAGGCCGGCAGACAGGTCCCGTATCCGGCGGTCCGAAAATAGGGGCGCGCTCAATAATAGGGACACAGTTTGTCCGAAAAAATGGTCCTATTTTCAAAACGTTCGATATGTGATACATTCGATTTTTGAGGTTCCACTGTAGTAGCGATGGTTGATTGGGGTTTTGTGTACAACCTGGCCAGCTCGGAGACACGCACTCCACTTTCATACTTAGCAATGACCTCTTTCTTCATATCCATAGTAATTCTCACCCTTTTTGCTGTAGGGTTGGCACTAGAAGCTTTCTTAGGGCCCATGGTGACTTATTTTGCAGGTGCAATCACTAAAAACGCTGTGATAATATGAAATGTTCTGACTGTATGTTTGGATGAGACCGCCGTGGCTGGCTGGCTTGTAAACACTGGCCACAAGTGGACACGTCTCAAACAGAACGAATCGTGTTGGTCGAGTTATTTAGCGCTAGTCGAGGCAAAATTTTTGCGTTAAAATGTATCACTAGTCGGATTTAATGTCAGACGATGCCATCGTTGGTCGAGGGTCCACTGTACTTTATACTGAACCTAAGTTGAAATTTTTAAGATTTACTTCTCCACTTACATATTCATGTGATAGAAAACAGACCAACAATCCTACCAGAGTGTAAAACATTCAAGTCTTCTGTTTTGCACTCATGACAGAACTAAGGCTCAGGTGAATGCTATACAATCAGATCTTCAAATTTAAGGGGGTTATGCTCCTTAGAGGTTCCATAAATCTAAAATCCACAAATATAATTTTGTTTTTTAACTCAACAAGCAAGGTGACCCAAAGAAAAAAACATGTTCACCATCATTCAAATAATCACTGACTTTCCAAAAGTGCTGATATCACAATCAGATTACCCTCCACTTGTATCACCACATAATCCCCATGGAAATAGATAGACTATCAGGTTCATGAGCACCTCATAAAAGGTGACTAAAATGTCAGGAGCAAGAGACTACTAATCCCTTCTTCTGTATTCATTTACTAAAAAGTCATTCAAAATTATATCTGTATAATAAAAAATTCAGATTTGGGCAGATATTGTGTTTCAGTGGCCTTCTCTCTTAAATATCACCCTAACCTAAGCATGAAACTTGGGACTTGACGACCTGTTGGAGTGTGAGCAGGGTAATATTTTGTGAAGAGATTCAGGGAAACCAGTTAGCCAGATTTGAGTCCTGGAGATAAGAAAGTACAATGCCTGTACTTTAAAGGAGAGGTTTGGGATATTTGCTGTTTGTAGTGACATCTGAACTGTCATATCTGAGCGCCTCTGTAAAGACAGTGATTATGTGTGAATGACGGCGAAAGCGTTTCTTTCTTTTTTGGGTCACCCTGCCTTGGTGGGAGATGGCCAGCATAAAAAAAACTGACTAGAAAAAGATTTATGAACAGAAAAGTCACATTTTAAATTAAATTCAATGATTACCTTTTTATTGTGGGGTTAAAAGCCATGACCCCCAAAAAATGGGCACCATGAAAAAACCATGAATCAAATTTATTCATGGGCTAACCATTGGTAAAAACATTGGGTAATCAAATTCCATGAATTAGGAACTTCTACAAATTTGGAGAGATGAATGTAGTGTTACTAACTGCAGTAAGTCATAGAAGAACCAAGCCTTAAAGGAATAAAATTTACCTGCTGGAAACTGAAGTGTAAAAATCCTAGTGGATGTAAAGCTTCTGGTTTACATTTAACTACCATAATATTTTTTGACACTCTTTGCACTAGAGGACCTGGAGTGTCAGTTGCAAGCTGCCAAATGTCCGATTTGACCGACTGTGGTATGGGCAAGGAATTGAGAACAGAATTTTTAAGCGTCAGTGACTGAGCTTCCTTGAAACACTGGGAGGCAGCACGGATGTGAGAGCACAGAGCTGGCTGCTGGCTCTGAAAAGGAAATAGAAATACAGCTCACAAAATAGTAATAACATGATTGCAAACAAACCATGAAATGAGTGGGATTTGAACCACTTGGTCAGCTACCTTAGTCCAGTGCATTAACCACTAAGCCAGCTGGCGTAGGTCAGTGCATTAACCACTCGGCCAGCTAGCCGAGTGGTTAATGCACTGACCTGTGAATTTTAGGACTCACTTGCCATGGACTCAAACCTCACCCATTCCATGGTTTGAAACAGAAATATATAAGCTCTATTAAATAAAAAATTTCTTTCAATGCTACTTTGGTCACTATAACCAATGGCCAATTAATTTTACACATCATAGTAAATGTCTTTTTTATTAAATTTTTCCACAACACTTCCTAGCCACTGATGAACATAAGACTAGGAAGTGTTATGTTGCATGAAAGATTCTCCAGTTCATTAAGACAAAAATTATAGAGTATGTCATGTTCACATAACTACATTGACACCCATCACACAACTCAATAACTAACAAAATCACTGATCATATTCACTTGTCCAGTATAATAAAAATGGTAAATATTACCAATAACAGTTTATTTATTGTTATCAATACGCAAGATTAAAAGTTTTGGAATCTCAAGCGATAATTTAGATCACAAAAAGGCTATTGAGTCCAATGAAGTAAGGGCTAGAGCATAGAATGCAAGGGAATTACAGAAGGAATTTGTAGAGCAGGGGAACTACAGAAGCCTCCCTCAAAACACAGAGCTGTTAAACAGTATGGGAAGGACACTACATTGAATCTACTGAAATACACTTGAACAACTGACATAAATACATGCTGCAATTATTATATACTCTGCAAGAAAAAACAATATGTGGGTACTTTTAAGCTACACTAATTGATAAAGAATAAAGTATTGCATTCCAGCTAAAAGGAGAGAGGTGTGCAAGTGGTTGGGACAGAAGCAGGCTAAGGAAGAAGCCAACACCTACATCTGCAGATAAGACTTTACTGGCAGGATCTGTGAATTAGTCTTGTGGGAATAATTGCTAATATTCATTTGCCCCTAATGACAAACTATGACGACTTGTAATTACTAGTAATTAGCACACTGGGACTCGACTCAACTACATTTGAGCAGGAGAGTAAATGTATTTACACTGTATATTAAGTAGTAGTAGGTTGGTAGACAGCAACTGCCCAGGGAGGTACTACCGTCCTGCCAAGTGAGTGTAAAACGGAAACCTGTAATTGTTTTACATGATGGTAGGATTGCTGGTGTCTTTTTTCTGTCTCATAAACATGCAAGATTACAGGTATGTCTTGCTACTTCTACTTACACTTGGGCCACACTACACATACAAGTACATGTTTATTTATACACAATCATCTGAGTTTTCTTTGATTTTATCTTAATAGTTCTTGGTCTTATTACTTTTCCTTTTATATCCATGGGGAAGTGGAATAAGAATCTTTCCTCCGTAAGCCATGCGTGTTGTAAAAGTCAACTAAAATGCTGAGAACAATGGGCTAGTAACCCCTTTTCCTGTAATAATTACTAAAAAGAATAATAAGAAGAAAATTGTTAAAGTGGGAAGTCTGAATGTGCGTGGATGTTGTGCAAATGATAAGAAAGAAATGATTGTGGATGTTATGAATGAGAAGAAGCTGGATGTCCTGGCTTTAAGTGAAACAAAGATGAAGGGGGTAGGAGAGTTTCAGTGGAGAGGAATAAATGGGATTAGGTCAGGGGTTTCAAATAGAGTTAGAGCTAAAGAAGGAGTAGCAATAATGTTGAAGGATAAGTTATGGCAGGAAAAGAGGGACTATAAATGTATTAATTCAAGGATTATGTGGAGTAAAATAAAGGTTGGATGTGAAAAGTGGGTTATAGTAAGCGTATATGCACCTGAAGAAGAGAGAAATGTAGAGGAGGGAGAGAGATTTTGGGAAATGTTGAGTGAATGCGTGGGGAGTTTTGAACCAAGTGTGAGAGTAACGGTGGTTGGGGATTTCAATGCTAAAGTGGGCAAAAATGTTGTGGAAGGAGTAGTAGGTAAATTTGGGGTGCCAGAGGTAAATGAAAATGGGGAGCCTTTAATTGAGCTATGTGTAGAAAGAGGTTTAGTAATAACTAATACATATTTTATGAAGAAGAGGATAAATAAATATACAAGGTATGATATAGCACGTAATGAAAGTAGTTTGTTAGATTATTTATTGGTGGATAAAAGGTTGATGGGTAGGCTCCAGGATGTACACGTTTACAGAGGGGCAACTGACATATCGGATCATTACTTAGTTATAGCTACAGTTAGAGTAATAGGTAGATGGGAAAAGAGGAAAATGGCAACAACAAGTAAGAGGGAGGTGAGAGTGTATAAACTAAGGGAGGAGGAAGTTCGGGTGAGATATAAGCAACTACATGTATTGGCAGAAAGGTGGAATGGTGCAAGTATGAGCAGTGGCGAGGTTGAAGAGGGTTGGAATAGTTTTAAAAATGCAGTATTAGAATGAGGGGCAGAAGTTTGTGGTTATAGGAGAGTGGGTGCAGGAGGAAAGAGGAGTGATTGGTGGAATGATGAAGTAAAGGTTGTGATAAAAGAGAAAAAGTTAGCTTATGAGAGGTTTTTACAAAGCAGAAGTGTTATAAGAAGAGTAGAGTACATGGAGAGTAAAAGAAAGGTGAAGAGAGTGGTGAGAGAGTGCAAAAGGAGAGCAGATGACAGAGTGGGAGAGGCACTGTCAAGAAATTTTAACCCTTTCAGGGTCGACAGGCCCTCTCAAAGACTTGTTCTCAGGGTCGGCCAAATTTAAAAAAAAAAAAAAAAATTCTTATGAAAAGTTAGAGAATCTTTTCACGATCATAATGACACCAAAAGTATGAAATTTTATGGAAAACTTATGGAATTATGCTCTCGCGAAGTTAGCAGTCTCGATGATGTTTACGAATTGGCGATTTTGCCCACTTTGAGCCCTATTTTCAGCCAATTCCATTGTACTTGTCGACAAAAATCATAACTATTTCCCTAAAACTCCATTTTTTCTATCGAATGAGTACAAGAAACCACCCATTTACCGATTTCAACTATCCAATACAGTGGTCAGAATTTAGCAATTTTGCCAATTTCACACAAATTTCAAAAGATACCAATTTCCGAATAGGGTTCAGAATAAACAAGAAAGACATTTCTGGCACTAAAATAACATTTCCTCTGTTCATTAGTCACGTCCCCACGCCCCTCTTACATTCTTTTGCTTTCCACTTCAAATTTTTATTCTCACAAAAAAATAAAAGATTTACTGTTATGTAGACTACTGCATTGGTGCAGAAATGATATAAATATTATCAGCGCACTTGTGACGTTGACGTGTATTGGACGCATAGCATGATCTGTTTACTTTTGAACTTTGGTAAAAATTGAACATTTCTGCTACTTTGAGTGCAATTTCAAGGTAGTTTTCTTTGTAAAACCAGACAAAATCATCTCAATTTCTGTAATATGTCTTCCATTCTATAAAATAAGACCAGAAAAACTAGAATACAACAATAAATACCATACGAAAATACAGTGCAAAATCGCTGTTTTAATCCAAAAACACAAAGTTTTTTTTTTTTCTCATTACGCACTGTGTGCTGCAAGATTTTTTTTATACTGCACACACTGACCATGTAGAACCATTCTTTCATATGTAGGCCTACCAGCTTTCTCTCACTAGATTTGAGGGCGCTAGAATTTAGGCATACTAGTACGTCAAAAACCCTGGTGCGTAAGCCGTACTAGTACGGCCGAAACCCTGAAAGGGTTAATGAAAATAAGAAAAAATTTTGGAGTTAAACAAGTTAAGAAAGCCTAGGGAACAAATGGATTTGTCAGTTAAAAACAGAGTAGGGGATTTAGTAGATGGGGAGAGAGTGGTTTTGGGTAGATGGTGAGAATATTTTGAGGAACTTTTAAATGTCGATGAAGAAAGGGAGGCTGTAATATCATGCACTGGACAGGGAGGTATACCATCTTTTAGGAGTGAAGAAGAACAGGATGTGAGTGTGGGGGAGGTGCGTGAGGCATTACGTAGAATGAAAGGGGGTAAAGCAGCTGGAACTGACGGGATCATGACAGGAATGTTAAAAGCAGGGGGGGATATAGTGTTGGAGTGATTGGTATTTTTGTTTAATAAATGTATGAAAGAGGGGAAGGTACCTAGAGATTGGCAGAGAGCATGTATAGTCCCTTTATATAAAGGGAAGGGGGACAAAAGAGATTGTAAAAATTATAGAGGAATAAGTTTACTGAGCATACCAGGAAAAGTGTACGGTAGGGTTATAATTGAAAGAATTAGAGGTAAGACAGAATAAGAACATAAGAAAGAAGGAACACTGCAACAGGCCTACTGACCCATGCGGAGCAGGTCCGTGTCCCCCCCCTCCCCCAGATTAGCCCAATGACCCACCCAGTCTAGTCACCTCCACTCAAGGATGGAGCACTGTGCCAGACCCAGCAGCACAAGCTAGTCAGGTCCAACTCACACCCACCCACATGCACTCATGTATTTATCTAACCTATTTTTAAACCTACACAACGTTTTAGCCTGAATAACTGTACTCGGAAGTTTGTTCCACTCATCCACAACTCTATTACCAAACCAGTGCTTTCCTATATCCTTCCTGAATTTGAATTTTTCCAACTTGAAACCATTACTGTGAGTCCTGTCTTGGCTGGAAATTTCCAGCACGATATTTACATCCCATTTATTTATTCCTGTTTTCCATTTATACACCTTGATCATATTCCCCTAATTCTATGCCTTTCAAGAGAGTGCAGATTCAGGGCCCTTAGTCTATCCTCAGAGGGAAGATTTCTGATACATGGGATCATCTTTGTCATCCTCCTCTGCACGTTTTCCAGAGCATTTATATCCATTCTCTAATACGATGACCAGAACTGAGCAGCATAGTCTAAATGAGGCCTAAACAAGGATATATAGAGTTGAAGAACAACCTGAGGACTTCTATTATT